GCAGGGGGGTTGGAACTAGATGATCTTTAAGGTCCCTTCCAACCCAAACCATTCTATGATGCTATGATTCTATGATTCAGCCTTCCTGGACTCCTTTGCTGTTCAGGACAGCCTCCCGAAGGGACTCTCTGAACCAAGGCTGCCCTCGGGAAGTCCCAGGCAGCAGTTCTGCTCACTCTATTCCTTACTTCTCTAAGAATCAAAAACTCTTTTCATGATCATTGTCCTCAAGGCACCCCCAACTGTCAAACCCCCGACAAATCCCTCTCTGTTCACAAACAGCCGGTCCAGTAGGCACCTTCCCTAGATGTCTCCCTTATCATCTGGGCCAGGAAGTTACCTTCCACACGCTCCAGGAACCTCCCAGTGTTTCCTCACTGCTGTATTGTATTTCCAGCAGGTAACCGGCAAATCCAAGTTCCCCACGAGAACAAGGGCTAGCAATCATGAGGCTTCTCCCAGCTGCTTACAGAGCATTTCCTCTGTCTCTCCATCCTGGTTGGGTGGTCTATAAGAGACTCGCCCTGTCCTATCTGCCTTGTTGGTCTTCCCAGCAATTCTTACCCATCAACGCTCAACCCTATCATCACCATCATTAAGCTGCAGACAGTCAGAACACTCCTTAATGTACTGGGCTATCCCACTGCCCCTGCTTCCTTGCCCATCCCTTCTGAAGAGTTCACAGCCCTCCACTGTAGCACTCACATTCCATGTGTTTGAGTGCTCTTGAACAGTCTAAAAGGCTCAGCCCTGTATTCACTAATAAAAAGGTATAAACCTTTCAGCACTACATTTTCAGTTCAATGTCATGAACTTAGGGTGATTTTCCAAAGCCTGGAACAAAAAGTAATTAGAACACAGTCCAGGATTTACAAATCCTCAACCAACTCAAATTCCTAAGTTTTTCCAGAAGGAAGAAAAAAAAAAAGGCAGTTTAGGGATTAACATAAAAACTGGTCTGGTACAATGCTCCCAACTCACTGGATCCTTGCTTCCTTAACTTTTCGCTCCGTCCACCAAGTACTTCCCATTTTCATGAAGTTGTATTTGATTATCACCAAAGGCCAAATGTCAACTTCTTCGTGCCACGCAACAGAAAAGCTCCAAGCGCCGGGGTACAGATTTGCAGTGCACAAAATACCTTTCTACAAATGAAATACCAATCTCTGCAACAAACATGACAGAAGCCTAACCTCTCAAAACCTTACAAAGCAGCTTCTGGGTGTTCCACATTTTGGGTTGTCCATTTCAAAACGTAAGGGTAAGCTAAACACTCAGGGCTAGGTAAACATTCAAGTGCTCCTCAGTGCACAAGAAAAAAAACAGTTGCAGCCTGTAAAATAACTTGCATCTCAAACCAGTCAAAGAAGCTGGTGGGTTGCTTTCGTTGTGGGGTTTTTTGTTGTTGTAGTTGTTTGGGTTTTTTAACAGTACTTTTAGATTCAGTAGCCTTTAATGACAACAGGACAATATTTCAGATGCAAGTTGTGTGAAGACCTAAATAAATAACTTAAATAAGCCATATTTTAAGTATGTGTCACCACAAGAGGCCCCCAAAATATTCAGTAAAGCTGTATTTTTGGGTAAGGTGCAAAGAGGTGTGGTAGTAAGAGATGGAACAGCCTGTATTACAGGAAAAATAACTGAACGTCTGAGAACAGAACACATCCTTAAAACAATACTACCTCAGTTACTACCACTCATCCTGAAAACATCAAAGAGAAAGAAGTTCTTGGAAAATATACTATTTAATTTGATAAGACAATCAATGAAGCTGTACAGTGACTTAATCCTGAAATATTCCATAATCTTCATGTTATAAATATCCTTTAAAAAAGCTACTAAAAGCTCCTAAAAAGCTACTGAAAAATACATCAGAATGTACTTTTGAGCACTCAGGAGTTAAAATTCCAAGTCTCAAAAGGAAATTCTCAGGAAAACTTTAGTTTGAATAAAAAAAACATGAAAAAAAATTTTACTTGCAATAGTTCTGTAGATGTGTACGAGCACAAGAAAATGAAAGCAATCATAGAATGATAAGAATGGGTTGGGTTGGAAGGGACCTTAAAGATCATCTAGTTCCAACCCCCCTGCCATGGGCAGGGACACCTTGCACTAGACCAGGTTGCTCAAAGCCTCATCCAGCCTGGCCTTGAACACTTCCAGGGATGGGGCATCCACAGCTTCTCTGGGCAACCTGTTCCTGTGCCTCACCACCCTCTCCGGGAAGAACTTCTTCCCGATATCCAATCTAAACCTCCCCACTTTCAGTTTAAACCCGTTACCCCTTGTCCTGTCACTACAGGCCTTGTAAAAATTCCCCCTCAGCTTCCTTGTAGGATCCCCTATCCTTATGAACATCTCCTTATGAAGCACAGGGCTAGTGCCTAACTACAACTGTAGCAACCAATTTTGCCTGCTAACATTCTCAAGTAAATATACACTTTTTTATAGATTTTCAAAATGTTCCACAGCTAGAAATAATCACCTCTACCAAACAAAATGATGTCACTGAAGAACTGTAAGTCTTCCCTTCCTAGCTACCTACCCGGCAAAATTAAAGACATCTATTACATGTGTCACAGTATGTGTAATGGCTTTGTTCTAGGTGGGGCAGACAGCTTAGACTTTAACGCATGGGGACCCTGAGTAGACCTCCTAGTTACAAACGTGTGCATTGAAGTCTCCTCACTCTGTTGTTATCATTAGGTGTACTAAAGCACATAACAATAACAGCTGTTAACTAAGCAAACACAACTAAAATTACAGTGCTGAGACAGCTTTCCCAGTAACATGCTTTCAAATTCCTTGCTGTCCTAAAGGATTAAAACTGTTCAACAATTCTTAAAATAACAGCTTTCATTATTTCATCCAAGACTGCAGGAGAGGGGGTAAAAAAGGCAAATTTTAAATAACTATATTTATTTTTTTTGTCATACATTTAAATAAGGATGTATTTCATTTTAGACACCCATTCAACGTTGACTTCATTAGTTTAGACAGAAAATAAAAGATATAAATACAAATCATATTGGCATAACCTGAACATATCTGCATTAGTACAGACCACTTTGCTTTGCTAGAAGAAAACCTTCTTCTGCATTAAAATCAAGCTCCTCAAATATTGCTGAAAAGCAAGTGTCTAGGTACCGGTAATTTCAGGAAATAAAACTTTTATATATTCAAATATTTTAAGTCCATCATATACACACTTTCTCATCATGTCAGTGGAGTTCAGATCATACCGACACAGTACATGTCAGAACCTCTGAAAATAAAACTAAACAGGCGAGTAAGAAATGCACATACCTCATGTACTTACAAAACCTTTTAAAGCAACAAATTTGGTCAAGTACCACAGAGAAGGATGTGTTTTCATATGGCAACGGTCAAGTAACCTCTTACCTTTTCAGCTCAAATACAAACCATGAAATAACTTCATGAGTTTGAGATAGTCAATAACAAAGTGGTGGAGTGAAAACCTACAACCTGTTAATCATGTTTTCGTAGGCCAAGTTCAGTTTTTTTAAAACAAAATCAATCTCATGAACAGTAATATTGATAAAGATCAAAGTATACATATAAGCACATAACCCAAACAAAATACACTTTTGTCTCTTAAGGATAAATAATTTAGAAAACACAATTAACATCCATGTAAATGCAACAATGAATTCAAAGGTGTGCATTTATTTTAATTTATACTTTAAACCCTACCACTAAACAGATCAAAAATAAATAAGTATGCCAAAAGACATGTGTGGATAGAAAAAATGCTAATTAGCTCTAGAAGAATCAAAAATTGGACATAATCTGAGTTTTGGTCAACAAATCTGCCTAGTCAGTTCCATCTTGCACACCCATTCTCCAAGTAACTGGCAGCCTAGCACGACAAAAGCACATCTCTGTCATTATGGCTTTAAATGAAGCATATATTCTTTAAAGAAGAAAATACAAATTGGGCAGCCTGGTCTACAGAAGTGCTGGTTTGTTCATCTTGCAAGCTTTTCACTGGACTGTGGGGAAGTACCTGATATATCTTTGCCAGCCTACTACAGTAGTGACATTATACTGAAAGAAAAAATAAGAAATTGCCAGGAAAAAAAAATCTTGGGAAATTTTGGGTGCTACGGGCTGGTACACAGAGAAGGGAGAAGTCTAACCCACTTTCACTGCATTTGTTTCCTAAATCAAGGATTAAAATAACTTACAAAACAGATCTCTAACATCACTTGGCACAACTATATTTTCAAGTTAAAGATGTTATCAATCATCAATTACCTTAGTGAACATACAGGCTTTAATACTGATTCCACTTTAACCAGATGCACATTTATTTCTTCTTTTATAATTCCTCTGTAGATGCTCTTTTGAAGGTACTTCAATCTTACTAACATTACTGGAAACACAACTTCTAATTTATACAAACTTCTGTAATCCTTGTACACCCCTGTCATTCCTACTGTTCTGCAATTCCACTGTAGGCATAACAAAAGCAGGTCTTTAAATCCAGGGGCTACTGGAAATATTTTCTGTTCCTTTCATTGCAGGGGTGTTGGACTAGATGACCTTTAGAGCTCCCTTCCAACCCAAACCATTCTGTGACTCTACACTTAGTATCGCCAGCATTTAGACCACTCTCAACAGGTAAATCAGCCTCCTCAGCATCTATAGACAGTGACAGTACCACAGTATCTCAGACAGGGTTTAATGCTCATACAATCTGACTACAGTATCACCAGCAATACTGGAATTAAAAAAAAAAAATAATGTAGGTGTCAGAAAAGACAATTTTTCTATATGGTTGTGCATCTGTATTTTTCTCCTGCACAAAACCTCTTTTGATACACTGCTGTGAATTCAAATAACAGATTCCAGCTTCAGGTGGAATGACTTCAGCTAAGACACTGCCTAGTGCTTCCTCGGACAGGAGAAATATTTTTCAAGTTTAGTTTTGCTGAAGATACTGTTCACTTGTACCATTTCATTGGTCCATTTGTTGATAGTCGAAGAAGCACTCATATTTGACAAAACCTTAAAGCTTTCAGAACAAATGAATTAAATAAACAAAAGACAGATGCAGGACAACCAAATCAAAGCACACAGGCATGACAATGCTTCTAAGAGAGTCCATGGGAAATGTGTGTAGTCATTACAGAGGTGCTTTTTCAGTGGTTTTGTTTCTGTAGTTTTTTTTTAAATAAGATCACAAGACACAAGTTGAACAAATAGGCAATTTCCTATGTTCTGCTTGCTTCTCGTCATTTCTGGCGCTGAATGGTTTTCCTTTTCCTCCACTTGAAAAAACAGCAGCACCTGCAGGTGTGACATGATTACATATGACATAAAAAGAAACCATAAAACTAAACTGTTTACCATATTTGTTTCACTTGAAGTATGCAGTTCAGGTATAACCAACACCACGAGGAACACATTAAGCTCTATTGCAGGTGATTGGTTTATTACTGGAAGAAACTAAGTAGAGATATTTTTGACACATTTAATCTTTTTTTTTTTTTTAAATTATCAAATTAAATAAAGCCATAATAAAAATAGCTATTAAATTTAGAATACTGTGTGACGGTATCAGAAGCATGGGCATTATAGACTTAGTTAAAAATGGATTTGTAAGAATAAGAAATGTTCCGTTACCTGAGTACTCATTCACATTAACTGGTAATACACCAAATAACAAGCATGAGGTTAAGCTCGTGTCACCTGAAGTATGCACTTATGATACTACTGTTGCTCATGCAAGAAAACTATTCGAGCTTCCTTTGTCACCAGGGCCTGGAAAAGCCTCCTCCAAAATATTTTAGAAGAAATGCTCATGAACAGTATAATTAACACTCTTCTTCATTGCTGTGATAATATTACTACAGTGAAATGATCACAGCTTTAGTTATATTAAAGTATACAGACATTCTGTCTTCTGCTTTATTTCATACTACATCAAGGAAATCAAAACTGACAAATACTGTGAATTTCACTAAGCAAATATAGACAATCGGAAAGTAACTGAAAAAGCACTACAAAAAGGAAAATAACAGGAAAGAGTTAGGGAATGCAGAGGACAACTGCTTAAGTCTACGAAGTAATTCTGAAAATAAACTAAAGAGGAAAGCAACGAATACACAGAGAAAACTTATCCATTCGCACGTAGTATTACCCCTATTTTAAGCAACTCCCAGCCCCTGACCACCACCTTAAAAATTAAAGGTTCCACCTAAAGTATCCACAAAACTGAACAGACAACCTGTCTGCCTTAGCAGAGCCTGCCCCACAGAGTTCTGCGGCTGGTTACAGAACTCTCACTTGCCGTGCTGTGTACTCAAGAGCCTTTCTTAAAGCTACGAAGTACAACAGAAGTGAAAACATAAACGTACTGCACCAACAGCCTACGAGCACGCCTTCAGTTCACCAAGAATTTCATGTCACTAAACTTGAAAAGGAATCCTACTGATGTACAGTTTGGAATATGGGAAATGGGGAAAGTATTTGCAAACCAGGAAGAATAAGGGTCTAAAAATAAGGTTCTACAAGGGGTAAGAACAACATCCGAAGTAAGGGGAGACAGAAGTTACCTTCTCAAAATATCCAAGGGCACCCTGTCGCTCAGTCACTGAAAAAGTAGCAGTGGGCAAAGGCAGACCAGAGCTGCTCTGAGAGTTATGTAACTTTCAGTAGAAAAAAAACATTGGTTATTGATGGAAAGAAAGCCCAAAATTAAAATTCAATAGGGGGAAACTACAAAGATAAACATTTTTACATCTAGCAGAAATATCACACTGCATTTCTTAACCTTAAAGTACTTCTAAGAGAAATAATTGGTTTTGAAGGTTAGTAGCCACCAACTGCAACTGAAATCCGCACGTAACTACTAACCCTTATCCTTAGCATCCGTCTACAACTACTAACAAGCATTACATCTTAAACTTTGAATTTATAGGCAGATGTACGGAGTCCAATTTAGTCTAATTCTTCTTTCACCCCAAGTATTTCCCAAGTATTTTATATACGTATATACAACAAACATCATATCAAAACAAAACATTTTACAGCAGACCCTCCCATTCACCTTGAATTATGCTATGATCATGTAAATGAGGAAATCCTAACCTGGACGGTGATGGTAAATCACTTTTATATTTGTTTCAGATTAGGAGGCCTCAAAAAAAGCTCACAGAAAAGTTTTGTCTCAATTCATAATTTCAGTATATACAAAATACAGGTTACATAAGTAACTGCAGGAAGATGGAAGTGTGACGGTTAATTTATATTCTAGAAAACAATGTAGAAATAGTCTAGAATTTTAACTGTTGACTGATTAACTGCATTTTGCTTATAGGGAGTATGTCTCAAGGAATAGCAGCTCACCCTTCTTAAATGTTTAAGACTGCTCAGATCGTCTGTGTAATACAAAAACGCTTTAGGTTCACTTGATCTCCTCCCCAGAAAATTTTAACCCATCCTTGTTGCAAATTTCACACTGTCCTTTACTCCTTCTCCATAGCCTATTTAGTTTGCCACCTCTCTGTCAGCCAGAAAAGAAAGGCATCACGCAACGGGGAATTCAAGTGTTCTATCTTTAATCAACATAAAGCACTGCTTTTTAATCTGCTTGTCTTCTTGAGTTTGCATAATACTACTATTTCTGTTAGAAGGCTTGGTTTTGGTTTTGTTTTAATTTTAAGAACTATTCACATCTTTATTGTAGTTCAGGGGATTTGACTTAATGCTGAAGACTTATTGGTGTGAGAAAGTAAATTCCTTATTAAAATAAAATTTAAAAAGGGTTAAAGGGATGCAAATTCCATAGAACACTGTAAACCACAGGACTGGCTTGCAAACTCACTGCAATGTGTATTTATCAGCCCCTAAGTGTTAGAACTGTCAAACCTCCCAAGGCCAAAGAACCATAATTTTAAAATGTACACACATTTACATGGGAGTAGGACAGGTCATACTACACTGCCAGATAATAAACTTTGTGAAAGAAATGTAACCTTGGAATTAGAGATCCACAGCGCATAATCTCCTGAAGAGTGTGATTTTTAACAGAAATGCAGACATGTACTTAAGAATACTGTCACTAGAGGGTGTCATTATCACTTCTATGTATGTATTACATTGCTTGAAGCCATACTTAAAGCTACAGATTGGGACATTATTCATGAGTATTAAACCACAAATTTATCATACTATTCAATGTGCATGCAAAATGCACAAGAATAGATAGGCTTTGAAATATCTAATCCTAGGAAAGGATTTTTTTTCTTCTAAAAGTGTTTAATGACTGCTAACCTCTTTCTCTGTACAGTATAAAACTTTTCTACAGCAGGCAGTATAATACCAATTTATGAAACTCAAGCAACATCTTCTTTCTCCTTTACAATCCGAAGTGACCTTTAATTATTACTGAAGGTAGCAATCTCTGTATTATGTTTATGAACACTCCTTGTCCTACTCAAAACATTATCACACCATTTTTCTCGTAAATACCTTTCCTTCTATTACCTGATCAGTCCCTTGGCACAACATGCTAAAGTAACATCAGTTCTTATTTGTGTTTGGACAGCTGTGGTTTTGTGTTTTTACCTAGCATGTGGCAGAATGCCAGATAAGTTTTCTGCAGGATTATTAATAGATGTTTAAAGTGGCAAAAAGAATGCAAGATGCAAAAAGGACAGATCATCTCATCTTATCCTGTTTGCCCTTCTCTGTCCTCCTGTGGAAGAGACTTTTGGTTATCCAAATTACACATGCTTTATAGAAGCAACTGTTCTGAGCAATGAGTTAAGGCAAGAAAGGGTAATTGCTCAGTGACAGCTGGAAGACCACGTCTAGGAGATAAAGTCTGCAAGTGCTAGGGCAGAACAGCGATTAGGTTAGTTTTCTCCCTGCTTTACAACTCCAGTAAGTAACATCTGAAAGAAGGTTGAAAGCTACTTAAAAAAAAAACAAAAAAAAAAAAACGCACAAAAAAACCTCACAAACCCAACCAAAAAAAACCAAACACAGGGGAAAAGAAAAAAAGTATTAAAAAGAAGAAGAAAAAAACACTACAATACAGAAAACTAATAAAAGAAAATGCTTAAGATTTAGAATATATATACTGCATGTGAGTACATAAACATTTACCAAACAATGAAAGTGCTGGATGAATGCTGCAAAATAATAAAATGCTTACTGAAAAAAATCCTCATCCTTTCTGATTTACTGCATCCCACTGAAATGCTAAAAGAAGATCTAATGAATACTGTATTTGTGTTCATACCTAAAATCACACATGATAGAGCACCATGTCTTTGATCTTTTACACCAAGGTACAGCCAAGCTAACCTTTTAAAACTATGAAAACATCTCGAACAAAGAATGAAGTGTGTCTAAAAAATACTGGTTTGTCTCCTCCGAGTATGAGCAAATGTTACAAAAATAAGGTATCAGCAATCGATTAACTTTGTTTATATTTTCAGATGCAGAAAAGATTGAGAGGCACAATAATGTGCCCTTAAAAACAAAGATGTCTGTATCAGACATGAAAGATGCTGATACTTGCATTTCATAATACTCTTCAAGAGTGTAAAATCTACAGATGGATGTTTAAATGTCTCACAACATCTTTTTATATTAAGCTTGTAACTATGATGACAAAATGTAAAATAACCTAAAACTTCTGAAGTATTGCTACTGAAAAAAGCTATATACCTGTACAATGATGTCTGACAGCAATGCTGGGGAGGGCGTGTGAGCATGTGTGTTGCTTTGATTACTGCCGAAATACAAAAAAATTCCTACCCCCACCAAAAATAGTGAATGAAGAAACTGCAGTTTAAGTAAACACCACTGGAAAACTAATTTCCATGTTTCATACTGAAAAAGATCAATTTAAAGAGTAGGATATTGAGACTAGACATTTTGTCTGTAACGAACCAGTAAAGACTAGGTCAAGAAGGTCAAGAATAGCATATTTGTTCATCAATTATTCCTATCAGAGAAAATAAACTTCTACACTTTTAAAGCAGCTGCGGCATCTTGTCTTCTGAGCATTCTCTTGTTTTCAGCACATAACTAAGCACAGGTTTAATTGTGCTAAGCACTACTCAAAATTTTCGGAATTCAATCTTCTCCTTAGAAATTTCACATTTTCCTGTGTGTACACAAACTGGGCGTAAGGAAAAGGAAGGTTATGACTGCACTCAGCCAAAGGGAATTTCTCTGTGTGCAGCCTATCAACATCCTTGCTCTGAGATTTTTTTTTTTTTAAATATATATATATAAGAAAAGCGAATCTCTTCAGAAAGAGAGTGATACAGTACTCTGCAAAGATGGCAGATAAAGAACCAGTCTTCTCAGTGCTCATGGAAAACTAGTGCACAAATGTGGCACAACAGACACCTTCATTCACAATTTTTCACTACGCATACATAAAATCTTACATACCAAAACTACATCCTGCAGAACAATCACTTCAAGAAAAATCTGTATGCTAAGAAACTCACCCTTATCTAAGTGTTAGGAAAAAGGGCCTTAAAAAACTTATAGCTATTAATGAATGCTTACTGGATTTTTCTGCTATTCATTTATCTTTCATATCTGAGTGCCTGCTAGATCCATACCCTTGCACAATCCTATTCCGAGCACAATTATAAAAGAAAGTATGTTGAAAGTTATACTGCCTTTAGCTACCAAGAATATTTTTCTGTACTATTCTGCATGTCTGAGTTTACTACTCATATATATATATATATATGTATCTTAGTTGTTCATCCTGTTAATAAACCTTAACCTTTCCCCCTTTCATTACACTGTAACTTTAAGGAACCCTGAAGTTATGTTTTAGTAATGAGTTAGCAGGATGTCAAAGACTGGTACTCTGGCAAATACCACATTTACAGAGATAACATGCAAAGTTCGAACTTTTGCTAGTATTTATTACTTGTTCATATAAGTGTGTTATTTTCCTGATGTTAAAAAACTAGCTGAATGCTACGACATCTGCAAAGAATGTCTTCCCCTCTGAAAGTGGACAGCAAGTACGAAAAATCTTCTACTAACTACTAAAAAGGATTAAACAGACTACACAACTTACAAGCAAGCAAGATTTGAAGCAGGCAGAATAGCTCCTGAAAGTGGCTGTTTGTTTGTAAAAACAGGTAATTGTTTCATAATATTAAAATCTGTTTCATGATTTCCAAATAGACTTTTTATTTCAAAGTTCTCTGAAATTAGTTTTAAACCACATGACAAGAACAAAGCCCCTGGGGCTATTTCTGCCTGCCTGTGCTGTAGAACTCACCACATGTTCAACACTTTCTGGCAGCTATACAGAGAGTAAGGGAAAAAAGAGAATCAGAATACCACACAGAGGAAGAATTTTCAATCTTTCATACATAATTTTTGCTAGTCAGAACAGTATCTTAAAATGAGTATTTCGATACAGGTTGAAATGTCAGAAATACATGCACTTCTCTAGCATAGAGAGGTGTGTTATTGAGGGCTTAGCCTAAAAAGCACAAGCTATAGAAAGTCTAATATTTAAATATCTACAGCCAAAATTAAGTATACTGCAATAGTTTTGCCCCTCACCAGTGGCTATCCAGTTCAGTCAATATTTTTTGAATAACCATACAAGAAGAATTTTGAAGTAGCTGAGCATAAAAGATCCAAAGCAAATAAAAAGATGGACATACTTAGTTTCATCTATTACTTGTACTTCTGCAGGAGCTGTGATGGGTGCATTTGAACAGCCTGCAGTTGGGTCATCTGTGTTCAGTTCTCCATTTGCTGAGCCCACGACCTGAAATCACCAGAAATACCTGAAATTATTGCAGTGCCAGACATGCATCTGTTGATTCCTAAAGTTACAATACATCTTCAAAATCAGTAATTTTTGTTAATTTCATAATTGGTTTTATTCCAATAACAGCATATTTTCTAAGTTTTATGCCCACATCCCTATGCTCCTGCCATTTTCCTTTCATATCCACCAGTGAAACTGACCCCTACATGACAGTCTCAGCATGAGTGGCCTAACCAAAGCAATTCTGTAGATCAGGTTTGCTGATCTCCCTCGTGTTTCTTCAGGGAAGAGGGAAGGCACTAACCCTTTTCCTGATACCAGTTCAGTCAGTCTTACCCTATCTCTGCTTCTTCAGTGTATTTAAGCTCCTTAGTTTCCTTCTTTTTGTGGTCCTATTCAGCTGTATCTCAAAATCACACACCAGAATATACACAGAATATACACCAGAAAAATACACACCAGAAGACAGGAAAACTAAGACATTCCCCAGACCTAGGAGTATGTTTGATTTTCAGTTTTAGAGCATAAGAACACTTAATTGTGTCCAAAAAAAAAAAAAAAAAAGTTAAATACATCTTCCTTCCCATTAATTTCCTCTCAAATTCCTTTGTAAATTCTTGAGCCACCAAGACAGCTCTGGTTCTCTGGGAATATTTGTTTTGATTCTAAACCGAATGGAACCCAATATTCTCTCTCAGTTTTTGCCAGCTTTCCTGCATGACAAGTGGAGCTATTCCAGAGGCATCTCCTTTATTCACCTCACAGAATCCGCCAGGAAGCTGCTTAACTGGATATAGACAAGTGCGTATCAGGTCAGGGCGGCTGACAGTGCCACCTCACTAAGTGCAGAGCTTCAGCAGTTAGCTGACCTTCAGCCATTTTGCATGCCATATGCCTACATCATGCTGACTTTTCGTCTTTTTCCAGTTTCACCGAAATAGGAAACACTGCCAAAAAAAAACCCCTGTAGCCCAGTAACAAAAGGAAAGAATCCCGAGATCGGAAGCATCTAATTACTTAAATTCTTGTCAACGTAACTGAATGAATTCTGGGAGACTGCACTTGATTTCTGTGACAACAGGAATTCAGTGGAGTTTCAACCAGGTGGCTTATGCTAAATGACCTGTCACTGTAGACAGCAGAAGCACTAAACATGCAGTGACATAAACGAGTAGGAACTGTAGTTCAACAAACAACAAGATGGTGAGTCTGGCATCTTAAACACCCTGGATTGGTAGATTTGCTTTACAAGCATCTCAATATTTGTTGTCATCACGTCCCATATTTACTGGTAAGGGGAAACAGTGTGATCCCAACCATCTCAGGAGGAATTTTCTGTGCAGATAATTTCATTGCTTCGTAGGAAATAATCAGTTGTAACAGTGGTAAGCAGAGCAGAAAACATCCCCTGTCTGCATGGGAAGTACTTGCCAATTAAGTCAGAACCACTCATGAAAATGTAAGCGCAAAAAAATTTGCTCAACTTGACCACCAAATGAATTTGGATCCAAAGGACCCAATAACTAGTAACAACTATAGACTGCACTAATCCATGTAAAGCAATGCCACCCAATTAAGACTGTAGTCAACCTTGCCTGCAGCCCTAATCATTCAGGATTTCTGCTCCATGATCTAGACTTAAAATGAACTTTTCTAAAGAGATCCTCAGACCTGTGCTCACATTTAGTAACAGCAGCTGATCAGAAACAGAAGGCTGTCTTCAATTTACTCAAGTAATGTAGGGTACACCGAGGAACAACAAGACAGGTATATGCCCCTTTCTGGATGGGAAGCAAAACTGTGCACCTTAGCACTCCTGACCGAACAGGAGACAGTTTGCACAGGTATTTGCAAGAACTCCTATTGTCTTCCTTTCCCTTCCTTTCCTACAAGAAGCAAATGAAAACATTTATGACTCATACTCAAATATCAAACACATTGTCCAGCTAGCGAGCTCCTGGCTATGGAGCTTTCACATGGCTTTTTCCTTCAGGCATCTTTCCAGGAGTGCCTATTCCATCATTCCCTTCTATCTTCTTGGATAGCAGATTCAAATAAAAAGGGGGGTGTCGAACTCAAGGATGTACACATCCTTCATTTGAATGGGAAAACATGAAAGCATATATCTAAAACTCCTTCCTACATTAATAATCTAGTTACGAATATTATTATTCAACAATAGGTTGAATAAACCCATCTTTCCCTTCAGATGTATAAAAAAGTGAGGAGAAAGTGGAAACATTTTGACAGGAACAAAACTGCATCCAAGCACATTTTTGTAATCTGCCCTTCTAACACTGCCACAGGAAGCCTATTTTAGAAAGGCAGGCAGATAAGCAAAAAAAGGTTTGCTACTCTGGTGCAAGTTTCATGGATGGTTCCTACCAGCCTTTGTCAACAGCTCTCTTCCGGTCTCTCTCTGGAACCTCTTCCAGCAATTTTTAAAAGAAGATCTGCAAGATCTGAGTAACTCAAAATCAAAAACCTCCTGGTTTATGAATGGTTTCTTTTTATTTATTTGTTTGGGTTTTTTTTGAATCACAGCTAAAGTCACACTAATCTAAGATGATTTCAGCTTTAAAGGAGAAACAGCAATCTTGTGCTTGGGTCAATGCACTGCCATAGGATAACCAAGAAGAAAAGCTCATTTCAAGGTTACCCAACCTGTTTGTGTGCTTATGAAAGAGGAAGAAGAGAAGCCGTAACCACCTGTTCGATGATTCTTTTCTTGAAATTCTCCAAACTGACTTAAAAACTGAGTAGTATTTCTTGACAAGAGCTTCCTTTAGTGAGAGACGACTTTCTTTTCAAGACAGCATTTATCCTAAGGTGTTTTTTTATTAATTTGAGACAACTGTTTTCTTTAAGAAACTTCAGCACTAACTCTGTGGAAACCTTCGCACCAGACAGCAGAAGACTGTCCTGCCTCACTCTGGTTGACGTCTACCAACCAGAATGAGATGCCCAGCAGAAAGAGACCTCAGTCCTTCTCATAGACATACAGCAGACACATTCACCAAATACAATCAAGTACAACCGCCAGCAGCACGGCTTGGTTTAGATGGGAGGAAAATGAAGTTCATCATTCTGGAAAGAGCTGGGACCTCTGAAAGCAAAAGTGAGCCAAAGGGCATTGGTAGTCCAAAAACCAGCATCAGTCATGCTTCTCCAGAATCACAAATGCCCTGAGTTTCTTAAATAACTTACTTTTTTAACTTAAATAAATAGAGAAAACAGAATGATTACTATTAGTGAACAAACCATTTAGAACCTGAATGTTTCCCACTTGAACATCATTACTAAGAGCACAAAAATATATATTAACATACATATACACATACCAACATTCAGTCCACCTGAATCACTAACGCTTTTTAATAATCTTTCACAAAATTATCTCAGAGATGACATGAGCAGTAGTATTACAGATGGCTGTAATAGCAGTGACCTAAAACACATTCTGTTGTCACTTTAAAATAAAATTATCTGCCAGATTTTTGTATCTTGCAGAAAAATGGATAATTAAGCATAAAACTGATCTTAAAGATGACAGGATAGGAGGAAATTGCCCCAAGTTGTGCCAAGGAAGGTTCAGATTGGATATTAGGAAAAATGTCTTCACTGAAAGGGCTGTCAGACAGTGGAACAGGCTGCCCAGGGAGGTGGTGGAGTCAACATCCCCAGAGGTATTTAAGAGACGTGCGGGCAAGGTGCCAAAGGACATGGCTTAGGGGTGGACTTGGCAGTGTTACAGTAACGGTTGGTCCTGATGATCTTAAAAATCTTCTCCAACCTAAAGATTGTATGATACTATGAGCAATGATATCACAGAAAAAGAAATGAATATACTTTAATTTCCTGCCTTAGACTGACAAATTTATTTGAACGATTATCTGCGGCACTTTCAGAACTTGTCTTCTTGGGGGCAATTAGTGATCCAGCTAAACTAGCTAGCCATCCAACTTCACAGCATGATTCAGTTAATATCACTACAACCAGGGGGTATTTAACAGTCAAGGGTTGAAACTTTAAAACAAAACTGAAGATATTGCAGCTTTAGAAGTGACTTTAATGAGGAAGCATGACCACTCCAGATTAAAAAGCAACCCAATTAAGATGGCTTGAAAATACCCTTCTGTACAACACTTGGTCTTCAAAGACACCTATCGAATGGCTGCAGTTTCGCACACTGCTCTTTTTACAGGGCAACTGTTAGTCTCAACTGGTAAGTGATCTGAAATCAGAATGCCCATATCCTTTGAGGAAACAAAAAAAAAAAAGGGAAGAACATTACATTAGCAGAAAGGAATACTGCTGGTATTTCCTAGCAAATGCTCTCCCTGCCCCCAGAGGGTATTTAACATGATTACGATAGAATAGAAATCTCTTGCGATCATTACGTTTTACGTGTGAGGAAGAATAAAACACCTCTGAAGTGCTCAATTGCCAAAAGAGTGATATGATAGACAATTTGGAAGTTGTACTAACTGGAATTTAACAAGTTAAATACGCTTTTTTCCTAACCTTAAAATTTACAAATTAAAAAAAAAAGAAAGACAATAATGTTAGAAGACACCATTTCAAATCCAAGTTTGATTCCACATTACTATATTGTTCTCAAAAGATAAATAATTACCTTTAAAACTGATGTTACTGAGAGAACTATTGCAATTCAAGTTAAATATATAAGTAAATTTTTAAAAATATTTGTTAATGGGAAGCACAGAACACTTTTAAACTCTTCTTGATACAGAGTGATAATTATCATCTACTAGCTTTTCTTACTTGACACATGGAAGTAGTTTCTAAAGCAGCTAAAACTTAGAGAATGTTAAATTTTAATTGAGTTTCAAAGTATTTAAAGAAGATATGGAATTACCACACTGGTAAAACTACAGCACTGCTTTCTTTACCCTAAACCTCTCTTTCTTTCTTCAGGCATTGACAATTTTTTCCAGAACAAAACTTCAGAAGAAATCTATGTACCTTACATTGTCACAATCAAAAATGCAGCAGACAAAATTCTGTGTCGTCCCCTCCCGGCACTTTACAAAACTAAATTATTTTCATTTTGGACTGAAAGCTCAAAACCTCATATAAACTTTGCAGCTGCCATTTTGAATCCTTCTGTATTAAAATCAGACCTCCTTATGTATTATTCCAATCACTTCAGGCCTAAATATATTCATAGAGCAAGATACCAAAAAGCAGAATTAAGAGCAAACCTGGGAAAAAAATTATCTGAAGAGGAAACAAACTAATAACTGCTCATTTTTACTCATTTTTCTACTAAGAAGTGTGAAGTACTGCTCTGGGAAACATTCTTCTAGTCAGCTATTGTTTGCATAGAAGTAGCAAAGTTGAAGCAAAAATCACTACTTAACACTTTCAAATAAGATTTGCTTATGGAACTAAAAGCACTACTTTTGTTAAAGCAACACTCAATTCAGTTAGTTGCTAATACAACTAAATAACCTATCAAATGTCTAAACCTCAGTTGCTTGCGCTGATGGGTGTATATTTTCTCAAAAAAAGAGAGGGTGCAAGCATAAGACAATGGAACTAAGAAACATGCAGCAGAAATTCCACATACAAAGAGATTCATGTTTTCTTTAACATTTTTATTTCAATTTGGCAATTTTGAGGTAGGGAATAATAGGAACACTCTGAACATTACTGAAAAACAAGCTTAATATGAAAAAGGAATCATGTAATGCACTACAGGAAACCACTGTTACATAATGCAAAAAAATGACTGGTTAAGTCATGCAAAGAAGCAGAAAATACCTGTACCGAGCCACCATGTCTGCCAGCTGCCAGATGAGCTCTCAAATGATGTGGATTGGTCTGCTGTGAGTCCCAAGCTGCCCTATGGTCTGCTGACTACCATTTTTTAATGCATTAGGAATATATGCAAAAGAAGAAATAAAAATTCCAAAAATAAATAATACATGCATTAATTATTAGATACGATTTTTTTAAATCACAGAAGCACTACATACTCAATTCCTATACGGACTGTGCATCAACATTATCTGTATATTTATATATGCTTACACATACATATTCATAAAGTAGCTAAAACTCAAAATTCCTAGTAAGAAACGAAGTCCACCAGCACAATCCTGTAACTCAACATAGGTATATGGACAAAAAGCTAAATTACTAACATTGTTACCACCTTGTCACTATCTTGGCTTAAAAAAAAGTTAAAATGTTATACATACATTTTACAACCCCTGTAGATGAAATACTATAGGAGAAAGAGGTAGTGATTTAAAACAGGCAACTAATAAAAAAAATTAAAGAACCATCAGCAGACAGAAAATTCACTGCTGACATAAGTTACATTGTATCATAGCATCAAACAAGCAACCTCTTAAGATATTTGAAGATCGACAGATGTAGAAATACATTATCAAGGACCTATTTAAACCAAATTAAAACCAAAGAAAACCTGGAGTCAATAGATGTTGCTAATAAAAGTAACAACATAGCACAGATCATCAGACAAAAGACACAGTAACGCTGATAATCTTACACGAGCAGTTTACCTGATTTTTGGTTTGCTGCATTTTGTCTCTGTGCTGACGTGCTTCTCTGTTTGAAGAGAGTGCAGGGTCTGAATGTATTGCACCCACTGGAATAGGCTACAAATATAAATAATATGTAGCAACTGGTAAAAAAAATAAATTTCTAAGTCTCAGCAAAAGTTACTGGTTTGTAACAGAAATTAATCTTTAAAACTGACAGTTTCCCCTAACTCATATTATCAAATTAAAACAAAAGATTCTCTAGATATTTACTATTAGCAAAAAGACAAAAAGACAAACCAAGACTTACATAATTTCATGAAGTAGCAATTGTATTATAAGACATTAATTTTCTGAAAGGCTAGTATTTTCTGCAGTTAGCCGTTAGGACATTCTCGTGAAATTCTGAAGAAAGGCTTCAAGTACTTTTTAATGCTAAACACTGAAAAATATCTAGCAATAAAATACCAGAATTATTTCCGAGAGCTACACAAGAACCTCGGTGTAAAACATATTATCTAAAATTGTCCAACCTACACTCAAAATCCCTTCCTTACTCATTAAAAACAAGGCAGGAAAAATTTGAGGTGCTGAAAAATTAATCTTTTACCATTTCTTTAAAGAATATAAGCACAGTATTTTCTGTAATTTTAGATGCCCTGTGTTGGACACTGATATTCTACATCATATTTCATGAAAACAATGCATATAGAAAGTTTCTTCATAATGAACTGATAAATATCTGGAATATGCATCAGAAGCCGAGAAGTGATTGCTCCACCGTTCTTAAATACTGGGAGCAAGAAAGTCCCCAAAGTAAGGAAATACACACAATATTGCCAATCACCTGCAAAGTTTTCAACTCCTTCAGCTCAAAAACTGTTCTGAATTCCTACAACCTCTTTTTGGATCAAACAGAGATTTGCTTTGATACTAAGAGTACACGTTTGGAAAGAGACTCAATGTGAAACATCTCAAGCCAAAAGATAATGTTTGAAAATGCATCTGAAAACAAGTTTCTAAGAGCAGCTGTTCTCAACTCGAACAGCAGCCATGAGATGATGTGTACTCTGAAACTCAAGACTAACGCTGGCTCAAACGGATCACACAAAAACCCCAGCATATTACTAATAGCTTAACTGCACTCACCAACTGTTTACCAATCCAGTCATATTCATAATCAAATACATAGCCTTTCCGGTCAAGTAAGTCTGTGAAGAGCTTTCTTAAGTAGTCATAGTCCGGCTTTTCAAAAAAATCTAGCCTTCTTACGTAGCGCAGGTATGTAGCCATTTCATCTGTATAAATTAAGAAATGTGCGTTATTGCCATGCCTGTTTTAATGGCACTCAAAAATACAGCAATTATTATGACATTTCAAAGCAACTTCTACCTCTCACCATAAAACCTGAACTGTTGTTCACCATGAATCTGAATTACCAGAAAGAAAATTTACTTAATAGTAGTAATATTCAAGACATACTGCCATATTCTAAGCACATCCTACCAAGTGACCCCCCCCATTAATAGTCTCTTTGCATTACCTGTCAAGATTTTCCATTCAACCTTGCAATCCTGATGCACAGTCTGTCAAAAGAGCAGGGAAAGAAACATCTCTTCCCTTTTCAATTATTTTTTTCCAATTAATTGTACAAAGACAAGACTAAGGAAAGGTAAAGAGGGGGTTATACGAATGTAGAGAATGGACTACGTCTCGAACAACACCTGTTACTGCCATGTCACCTTCCTTTCTTTAAGAGAGGATCCACATGGATGTTGCAAAGTGGGCAACTCCAACTGCCCTGACAAAAAGCACTCCGTACAGGCTCTGTTGCGCTACAACTGCAGCGTGACTATGGAAGGCTGCAGCAGTGCTGAACGCTTCAGGCATCACGCTATGTGAAGGTACTGAGTGGCCAATATCCTAAACAGAAACACTGCAGAGAATTAATAAGGTTACCTAAGCTCTTGCAGAATGACTTCTGACCAATGTCAGTTTAGTATCACTGTTTAAATACCATGTCAGCATACAAATGGAGATTCATTTGGGCAGATGTTACATGGAAAATGTAAGAACCTCCCAGTAGTGGAGAAAAGCAGGGAGATTTCTGAAAGGGCCTGGACCTGTTAAGATAAAAGTAAAAACCTTTCCTGGTAGTTAAAGGGTATGAACTAGAGACTGCTCATTAGCAGCCAGAATCTTCTAGTTAAAATAAGAGTTCCAGAAAAACCTCTTGGCAGGTGAGCAGAGCATACAGAAGTCCCATTCTCGCTAATGGGTATAAGCCATGAAACGCTGCTGTGATACCACCTCCAAGGAACAAACACCCTTAGGGACAGGAGACTTCAGGAATCCAAGGGTTGAAAGGCATGACCCATGAACATCTGAAGCACAAGCTTCAAATCTCATTGAGAATCTGCTCTGACATGTGACTACATATGCAAAAACTCATTCAGCAGTCACTGGTATGAGGAGCGTGTGAGAATACAAGAGTCAGGAAACTGCAGATGTGAGAAAAGTACGTATTATCAAGCTTTCACAGAAGACTAAGTCTTGTGGGTCCTTGCACTCCACCAGATACTGTACGAAAGAACTAAAGTACTGGAAGAGTGAAGAGAGCAACAACCTAACTAAACTGAAATTTTGGTCGATTCAGATGGCATCTATCCTTCCTGTCATAGAAAAAAAATAAAGGGGACGGAGCCAGAGGGGGAAGTGGCACAGTGGTTTGGAATAGCATACTGCAACAACATCTCACAATCTGATAAGGATCAGGAGAAGCACTTGACCCGAGTTCAGTGACATAAGTTGCAAGTAGACAGAGCATTTAAGACTAACTTATTTATGGACCTTTGTAGCTCATGGAAGGATGGGGAACCACCCACTGGCAAGCACCCTAAGAAAATCAGTGACTCCTCAGCCTCCAGAAAAAAAAGGCTGTTTACATGGTCCCAAGGTACAAGAGAAGGCACTTCTATATGATCAGAAAGTCAGCGGACAAGTAACTAGATGCACTCAACGATCCTATGAAGAGGAAGCAGCACAACAGCATCACAGCAAACTCCCTCTGACCCACACATGGCATTCCAGGAAGTCTGGAGAAGCTGACATCTTGCAGAACAAACAAGGTGCTGCAAGAAGCTTATCTTCTGACAGAATGGCTGAGAAGTGCTGATGCAGTGCTAAGACTGCGCTATGCTGAGTTAAACTCCTGAGACACAGTGAGGTAAGAAGAAGGACAAATGAAGCTTTGAGACCAGCCTGACAACAAAAGCTTGTGAGGCAGCATCATGTTGGTGCTGTCAAGAATGCATCACAGGACAATGGTGCCAAGACAATCCAAATTGCTCAGATCTGACAATGGAGTATTAAGCACTATGTTTTAGGCAGGAGCAGAGGATAGGTGGAATACCTTGGCACGTTCAGTCAGCTGGGCAGACAAGCAAGACTCTTCAGCAATACTGGCCAAGGAAATCAGTGTTTGAAGAAGGTGAAGAGAAATGTTGACACATTGTTAGAGACCTCTTCAACTATAGTCTCCCAATGTAAACCGGAACACAAGCATCCAAGGCATGTCTTCAGAGGTATGAAGGGTGGAACTGAGCCAGTTAATGCAGCTAAAACCGTAATAACAGCCTGACTCCAAAAATCAAGTATCACACTTACCATGCAATTGAAGCAGAAACGCTAGTGTTTAAATCCTTGCTAATATTTCATACAGGGCTTGAAACAGTAGCAGTACTGCACATGCAAAGGCAGTACAATTCTACAGAACAGGATGAAAAAGTTTCACGTATGACAAAGACCAAAGTATCTTTCACAGATACTACAGAGTTCTCTTGCCTTAAGAATGGCCAGGTGGTCAAGGGAGGTGATTCTCCCCAACTACTCTACTCTCGGGATACCCCACCTGCAGTTCTGCGTCCAGCACTGGAGTACAGGAAAGACATGGACCTGTTTGAGTAGGTCCACAGGAAGACCTCAAAAATGATCAGGGGGCTGGAGCCCCTCTGCTATGGGGACAGGCTGAGAGAGTTGGGCTTGTTCAGCCTGGAGAAGAGAAGGCTCTGGGGAGACCTTATAGCACCTTCCAGTGCCTGAAGGGGCTACAAGGAAGCTGGGGAGGACTTTCTACAAGGGCCTGTAGTGACAAGGCAAAGGGTAATGGGTTTAAATTGAAAGTGGAGAGACTTAGATTGGATATCAGAAAGAAGTTCTTCCCAGAGAGGGTAGTGAGGCACCAGAACAGGTTGCCCAGAGAAGCTGTGGATGCCCCATCCCTGGAAGTGTTCAAGGCCAGGCTGGATGAGGCTTGGAGCAACCTGGTCCAGTGGAAGGTGTCCCTGCCCATGACAGGGGGGTTGGAACTAGATGGTCTTGAAGATCCCTTCCAAACCCAAACCATTCTGTGATCCTATGAATACCAATCACCTAGATCAGACTGCAGGCTGACTGAGAAGAGTTGAAATGATGGTGGATGTACTTCTCACTCTATTTTATGTCGTGTTTGACAAGAAAAGAAACATGCAGAAAATCCTCAGATATTTGACATGCAAAAATTTCCACAAACAAGAACATTTTTATTAGGAAAACATCCATATGTACCATCAAACAAGCTTATATTTTGTGTTCTCTAAGGTCAAATACCTTTTCCCTGCTCCATTTTCGGATCCAAGCCTGTCAACAATCAGCTACATGATTAAATTTGGTAGAAACAGTCCACTAGATATATGGAGCTACTCAGGCATAATTCTTTCCAGGAATTGCACCACATACACCTTAAATTAGATACTTATTTCTTAAAGGATTCTAGCAACTCCATAGAAACCAACATTGTACTGATTTTGTTTGGGAAAAAGTTTTTGAGAAAGGGAAGAAGACAATCCAAATCATTCTGGAAACCAGTTTTGCCATAAAGCAAAGTAAGGTCAGGGGACCTGCATAAAAGACCCAGTTCTTAAGAGTAAAATGGCAAGATGAGCATCGCCAGATCTTGATGGACGTGATCAACAAAATCACAGTGATGTGCCCACCAATGAGCAAAAAGAAATACAAGCTTTCCTCGGCATTGTGGGTTTCTGGTGGATGCATATTCCAAATTACAGCCAAATTGTCAGCCCTCTCTATGAAGTGACTCATAAGAAAAACGGTTTCAGATGGGGTCCTGAGCAGCAACAAGTCTTTGAACAGATCACGCAGGAGATCGTGCATGCAGTAGCCCTTGGACCAGTCCGGACAGGGCCAGAAGTAAAGAATGTGCTCTACACTGCAGCCGGGGAGAATGGCCCTACCTGGAGTCTCTGGCAGAAAGAACTGGGGGACACTCAAGGTCAACCCTTAGTGTTTTGTAATCAGGGACACAGAGTGTCTGTGGCCCATTATACTCCAACTGAAAAGAGATACTGGCAAATTATGAAGGAGTTCAACCTGTCTCAGAAGTGGTTGGAACTGAAGCACAGCTCCTCCTGGCACTTCAACTGCCAGTGCTGGGCTGGATGTTCAAAGTGAGGGTCCCCTTGATGCATCACGCTGCTGATGCTACATGGCGTACAAGGGTCATACTGATCACACAACAAGCTTAAATTGGAAATACCAGTTGCCTAGGAATCCTGGAAGTGATCATGGAAAGGCCAGACGGCAAAGACTTGGGAATGTCACCAGAGGAAGAGGTGACACATGCTGAAGAGGGCCCTGTGTAAATAAACTACCAGAAAATGAGAAGCAATATGCCCTGTTTACTGATGGTTCCTGCCACATCGTAGGGAAACATCGGCAGTGGAAAGCTGCTGTGTGGAGTCCCACACGACAAGGCGCAGAGACTGCTGAAGGCCAAGGTGAATCCAGCCAGTTTGCAGAGGTAAAGGCCATCCAGCTGGCTTTGGATGTTGCTAAATGAGAGAAATGGCCAGAGCTTTACCTCTACACTGACTCGTGGATGGTGGCAAATGCCCTCTGGGGGTGGCTACCGCCATGGAAACAGACCAACTGGCAGCGCAGAGGCAAACCCATCTGGGCTGCTGCATTGTAGCAAGATATTGCTGCCCACTTCGACAAGTTGGTTGCCAAAGTGCGTCACATCATTGCTTACATACCCAAAAGGTGAGCTGCTGAAGAACATCAATACAATCAGCAGGTGGATCAAGCTGCTAAGATTGCAGTGGCTCAGGTAGATCTGGACTGGCAACATAAAGGTGAGCTGTTTATGGCT